TGTGAGTTACCATGGAAGGTTTTGGTTGACATGATGAACTCAGACAGTCTGTCACCTTGTTCGTTCCATTCCAGGCCATGGGTTCCGATGTGGAGTTCATCGACTGATCTTCTTGGTCCTATCTTGGCATTAAAATCACCGACAATGATCTTGTAGAAGGTGTGATCTTCTTTAAAGAATTTCTCTAGCTCCATGTAGAATTTCTCAGTTTCTTTTTCACCATAACTGGATGTTGGTGCGTAGACAACAAAGACAGAAACTGCCGGTAGTGAGCCACATTTATTCAAGTGTAATCGTCCGATTCGGGTTGTTAGGCATTCAAATGAATCAATGCTCGTGACTAAGTTTGTGTTGACAAGGATACCGACACCACCGACGCCTCTTTTATCACATGTTCCAAGGAACAGTTCTTCTCCAGTGTCGAAAACAGCATGATGGGATTGATGTCTTCTCGTTTCGGTCAGACCAATGATGTCGTACTTGATCTTTCGTGCTTGTACCATAAGGTCTTCAATGGATGCAGCAGATGCCAGCGTACGAGCATTAAAAGTACAGACAATCATTTTTGTTTTTCTGCGTTTTGGCAGCCCATGTCTGCCTTGGTGTTTTATCAGCTTCTCCTTCCATATCCTTCTCGACTCTGCATAATCAGGGTTAGGGGAATGAGATCCATTTATTACTGGATTTGGCATATCAATTTGGTGTATTTGGCATAGATCACGGATAGCTTGCCAGGCTCTGCCGTGAGGGTTGGATATTTAAGGATATTTAAGGTATCCTGAAAATTATTAAATAAATAGTCGCGCGGTACAAAATAATAATATTAACAATAATGGTAATAATAATAATAAAGTTAATAATTTTTCACATGGGCTGGAGTGACAGCACAGCGGGTAGGGCGTTTGCCTTCCACGCGGCCAACATGACCGACCTGAGTTCAATTCCTCCACCCCTCTCGGAGAGCCCGGCAAGCTACCGAGAGTATCTCACCCGCACAGCAAAGCCTGGCAAGCTACCCGTGATGTATTCGATATGCCAAACACAGTAACAAGTGTTACAAAGGAGACGTTACTGGGCCCGCTCGAGCAAATCAATGAACAAAGGAAGGACAGTGACAGTGACAGTGATTTTTCACATAGACCCCATGTATCTTGCTTGGGGATTTAGTCTTTCCAGCATTTGACCCTGACTCCCACCTAGTGGCTGTACCTAGTACTGCCACAGCACAGGAGCCTGCCTCGGTGGGGAGCCCAGGCTTGTGGACACCTCTGAAGGAGCTGGCCCTCAAATTCACACCCCAGGTCAAGGGCACACACACACACACACACACACACACACACACACACACGCACACACACGTTGGTAACTGGCTCACAGGGCCTCCACATGGTTTTGTTTTTCTTGGAAAAATAACTTTGTAAAACACCAAATATCCCCCCTTCTCTCTTTCAGAATTCAGAGGGAAAAGATTTTCCTCTCAAACTCCTGAAACTTCAAAGCGAAAATGCTCATCACTCGCCTAGCCGAGCCCATCTTTTGCTCCAGGACCCAGGTGGAAAACGCATACAGAGATGCATCATGTGACATGAGAAAGCCAAACTCACAATTGATAATCCCTAAAGCAGCTCTTTTCAGCACCTTCTGTGGTAATTCCTCCAGCTGGTCAATATGGTAAACAGATTGCCTTCCTCGGCTGGAATGAAAGCCAGAGCTGAGTCTGGCAGACCCGCCTAGAACTTAGTCTGGGAGCTGGGAGCTGAGGAAGGGCCAATTGTGACAAGGTGGCTGAGCTGATGAAAGGGAGGCCACATTGCCTCCTGGGCTGGAGCTCGCTCTCTGTTGAACTAGGGCTAGAGCCATAGTACAGTGGGTAAGGTGCTTGCCTTACATACGGCTGACCCAAGTTCAATCCCTGGCAACACTCATGTTCCCCTGAGTTGTACCACGAGTGTTCCCTGAGCTCAGAACCAGGAAGAAGCACTGTGAGTGCACCCCACTCCCCCAAAAAAGAGGTGACAGTTGACAGTATTGGAAACATGTCACCTAAACTATAACAATACAACAAAACCCTGAGCACAGTGGAGCAGCAGCTGGAACAGCATCTGGTTTAATTCTGAGATCGCCTGTCCCCTGGGAGGGCATTGTGTTAGTGACCCATGAGCCCCCTATTGTTTACGCCACCTCACTGGAGAAGGAAACCCAGATGGCAGAGATGTCATGGGACAGAGTTCGCCCCTGCCAGTTCAACATCCACAGAGCAGTAACTCCGTGATCTCTGGGATGAGGCCAGGTCTCAGAAGAGGAGACGGGGCTAGAGTGGATAGCACAATGGGTAGGGCGTTTTCCTTGACCGCGGCCAACCCTGTTCGATTCCCAGCATCCCATATGGTCCCTGGAGCACTGCCAGGAGTAATTCCGGAGTGCAGAGCCAGGAGTAACCCCAGTGCATTGCTGGGTGTAACCCAAAAAGCAAAAAAATAAATAAATAAAAGATAAGAGGAGACTCATGCAAACATGCAAGGCTACACCCATGTACCATGACACTGTTCTCTTGGGCTTCCTCACTAGCATCCAGACAATTCCAAGTCATGGGTGATTTTGGTTTTTCTTTTTTAAGTAATTCACGTGAGTCTTTTGCTCAAAGCCATGCTTCTCAAACTTGAATGTGTGAGTGAATCATCTGGGCGTGGATCCAAGAGAGAGAGGGCAGAAAACCCCTATTTTGCATTTCTTTGTACAAACTACCAGGAGATGCCAAGCTGCTGGTCCCTTGACCACAATTTGAGGAGCAAGGGCTGCTAACTGAAAGTTCAACTCGAAAGCCAATCTGAAAAAGCAGCTGTAGGCTGATTCATGCCTTGGATTCTACTGCCACATAGATGAGACCCACTATGGAATGTGTGTGTGTACCCACATTGTAAATGACTCCAGGTCAGTGAGACAAACAGGCTGTCTCAGTCCAGAACCAACGTCTCAACATTTAGCCCCAAAAGCTTATTTATATAAACTTTTGACTCCCCCCTCCCCCAAATGTATGCTATTCATGGGTTGCTGAGGACCATAATTGCTCCAGTTCAACAACTGTAAAATAAATATATAAAAATAATAACAACAACTCTGCGAGTAAGACATTTTCTGCAATGCATCTTGTGAAAACCAATTACTATGTCAACTGCTTTGGGATAAAAAAATATTTTTAATAAATTTTTATAGTAAATTAATGAAGTTAGATCCATATTTTATGCCAAATAGTTAAAAAATACTGCAGAGGAGTTCAAATATCAAACATATATATCAAATCTATATCATACAGAGGAAGATATAGGTAAATATAATTTGGTTTCAATCTGGGAAATGCCTTTTAAAGATGAAGGGAAAAAAAGAAACCCAAACAGCAAAGATTGATAGAGTTAATTACAATTCTCCTAGAGTCTAAGTCTCAAAAGTCACCTTAAACAACGGTTAAAAATAGTCAGGAAGATAGATGTCACAAATAAAGCAAAGTGCTAACAAAAGATCATTTTTAAGTACATAAGAAAAGCACTAAAGTCCTAATATGAAATAAAAAGAACATAAAGTCTGAATAAACTGGGGTTGGGTAGGGACACCCAAGAAACTCAAAGAGATGTCTAAGGTATGGAGAAAGAAAATATTAGAACGGTCTTTTAACCTATCCTTTGAAACAATTCCATCTTTGGGTATATTTTATAATTGATATATAGTAGAGCTATGCATATGGAGAATGCATTTTTTTCAGATTGAGAGATTCTTTTGTTGTTCAGATATGAAACCAACATATTTAGAAACCAACACACTGAAAAATACTAAGATGCTAATAAAAAGTCTAGGTTTCCTACTAAACAAAGAAATGTAAACATAATAAAAACAAAACAGAACCAAATATCTTCCCCTGAATTTGGCCGGGTTTTGTTGCTGCTGTTGTAGTTGGTATCTGGAATGAGGAGTAAAGTGGCTTATGCTCACTAAGACTATTCCCAGGCATTGCTGGAGATCCAGCCCAGGGCTTCCAGATGCAAAGTATGTGTCCACATGCATTCTAGTCCTTTAAGCTACCTCCACGGCCCAGAAAAATGTTTTCTGTAAGCTTTTTTTAATTTTTTTTTTATTTTAGTAGCTATTATTGCTCAGGACGCACCTGAAGCCCAAATGGGCAAAACCTTTTTGACAAGTGGGTTGGAAAAAATACATCGAAGTGTAAATGTACAAAAAACATAACATGCATTGGAATTGCCAGATTTAACAACTGTATGAGATATACTTGGGCTGGAGCGATAGCACAGCAGGTAGGGCATTTGCCTTGCACATAGCCGACCCGGGTTCGACTCTTCCATCCTTCTCGGAGAGCCTGGCAAGCTACCAGAGTATCCCGCCCGCACGGCAGAGCTTGGCAAGCTCCCCATTGTGTATTTGATATGCCAAAAACAGTAACAACAAGTCTCACAATGGAGACATTACTGGTGTCCGCTCGAGCAAATTGATGAACAATGGGAGGACAGTGCTACAGTGCTATGAGACATATTTATTTTAAAAAATTATTCATCCAGACCCTCTCCACCCTTGGAGAAGCCTGCGTTATCTCTGAGCGTGTTACTCTCTCTCTCTCTTAACTCTCCATTCCCCCACTTATCCACTTATCCCTTTCTCTTCCTCTCCAAAAAAAAAAAAACCTCCAAATAAAATTTGTTACTTCAAAAAATAATAATAATAATAATAAATAAAAAATTATTCATTTATAAGGCAGGAGACAATACTGGAGCATGGGCAGGGCAGGCTGCGGCTGTAGCTTCGGATGCTGGCTGGGCTCAGCACTCCTTCTGGCAAGCACAAATGCAGGGGGGTTGGCCAAAGCTGCACAAGGCTGAAAAGGCACAGAAGAAGTAATAGCTCTGGACAGGGTGGCATTCCAGGGCCTTTGTGGTCATATCCCCAGAGTGGCTCTGGTTCCAGTGGCTCCGTAAACAAGGGCTGGGCCCACTCACCAGACTGTCTTCAAACCACTCCCTGATGTAGGCGGCCGTGGGGCCCGGGATCTGGCTCAGGAGGAGCGCTCTCTCCTGAGGATGCTCCAGCATCTCCAGGGCCAGCCTCAAGTCCTCGACGAGATGGAGCACAGGGAAGGGGTTCTTGCAGGAGGCTGGGGAGGCCAGTCCTGGCTCACAGGTCCCATCGCTGAGATCTGCACCTGCTTTAGTGCCTGGAACGAGAGAAAGAGGGACCTTGGTAAGATGAATGAACACTAAGGGTGAGGAAAGGGCAAGAGCAAGGTGGTAAGGAGGGGAGAAGAGGGAAGCTAAGAAACCCAGAAGGCCAGCTGTACCCCAGCAGAGTCACGAAACAGAGTTCCGAGTAATCAACCATGCAGAGATCTCTCACCTGACCCCAAAAGCGCCAGAGTGCCGCGACACCATTCTTTAGACTGCAGTTTGATAAACCTTGTGAGGTAGGCAGCAATGAAGGCCAATCCAAATCGCCTCCATCCCTAGTATGCAAACCACCCTTCTCCTCTCAAAGACAGTAGGAGAGGATGTGCCAGATCTGGGCTTGGGATATAAGAGGTCTGACAGTTTTGTTTTCTCTATCCCCTCTCCTTCCCTCCACCCCTCACCCTCATGCTGATGTTTGGGGCACAAGCTGTGCTCAAGGTTCTTTGCCCAGGTATCACATCAGAGGTGCCTGGGATCAAACTGGGGTCAGTCACATTCAAAACAAGCACTTAACCCCTGTGCTACCTCTCTGGCACCTATGTTACTTCCTTTTTGTTCCTAAATCGCCAAGGTCCAGAAACCTTCCAGAGGGACAGAGAGGGGTACAGCTACCCCCCTCTCCCAGCCCTCTCACCTGCCAAGGTGACAAACACATTGGTGAATCTTGGGTCTGCCAGCCTAGATGATACCATTTAGAACAAAGACGGGGACAAGCTACGCTTGCTGAGTATGAACCATGTCAGGGACTAGAAAAAGATAAATAATAGTGACTATTTTAAGCTATGATTTTGTATTAGTTTATTACTGAGCAACAGACAAACAATAACTATATTCCTTTTGGAGAGGACTTAACCAATTGGAATCCATGTCTTCCCAATTGGGAACATTCTGTATCCTCCAACATAACCATACTTTTGTTTGTCTTTTGTGGGGGTCACATTCAGTGGTGCTCAGGGCTTAGTCCTAGCTCTGTGCTCAAGGGTCACTCCTGGAGAGGCTTGGGGAACTATATGGAGTGTGTGGGATTGAATACATGTTTACCCACAAGTACGGGCACCTTATTTGTGCACTATCTCTCTGGTCCTTACAGATCCACATTTTAAACTTGTATTAATTACTATGCATCTCCACAGCTCATCTCCCCAGAATGCATGGACACCCCTAAGCGCAGAGTCTCCCTGTGTACCTATACCCAACTTCTGGTTTCTCATCCTTCTGCCTTGGAAACACTGAAGTTAAATATCTCGCTTGGATCAAAAGGGGAGAGTGTTTGAATTTCCTTGGAGCTGTGATCGTAGGTCAGCTCTTTCTCATTGTAAATGCCTCAAAATAGGACAATTATGGCCTTTCAAAACCTCACCAATTCAAAGGAAAAAAAATCTTTACATAGTACAGTGATAAATGTTTCAAACCCAAACTGGGGTGGCATTCTCTAGTAAAGGAATTCTCTCAGCAGCAAGAAACACTTTTGAAAATATGGTGTTTATAGATGGTAAAATTTAAAGGGTATTTGGGTTGTCTATAAGGCCAACAGGATAAAATAAATCAGGACTTGGTTGAAAATGTGTGCTGGGAAGCCTTGGTTGCACTGCAGGCCTTGATGGCTAAGACCAGGTCCCCCCACTCTGCTCAGAGCCAGGTTCCCAATTGCCACGACAGACTTTGGAATGAAAAATACACACAGAAGGAAACAATTACCACTTGATTGTTGGTTTGCTCTCAGAAAGTGCAGCATAGGGAGAATCATGGATCATGATCTACAAACAAGTCAGAGGCTCTGGGGAGCCAGGCAACTGCCTGATTATCCCCATTCTGATTGTGCTCCAATTTAGAGTTGGAGAGAAAAGGCCACAGCCAAACTTGAGGGAAGAAAATGAACAGAAGCAAAGCTAATCTCCAATCTCCAAACTCCAGATAATTGCTTAGTAATCTCTCTTGTCTCTTCATTCTGGACACCTCTAACACACACACACACACACACACACACACACACACCTAACATACACACACACACACACACACACACACATACACACCCCTACCTCCCCGCTCCCACACACACACACACACACACACAAATCTAACATGAGTTAGGCTAGGAATAAATGGAAAGACTGAGATTCTCATTGTCTTTATATTTCTGTGGACTTAGACATATCTCTCCCATTCTCTGTCTCCTTCTCTGCTTGAAAGCCATAGAATTCTTCACTCTGGTTCAAAATATTTGTGTGTGTAAACGCACATGTGCATGCATATGTGTATCCATGCACATGAGTACATGTGTGGCTATACCAATTTTTGCGTGTAATGAGCATATACATAAAAAATCTTACATTCTTATTTTTTTTGCAATTTACATTTCTTTTCTTATTTTTCGTTTGTTTGTTTTGGTCTTTGGGGGGGGGGTGTCACAGCTGGTGATGCTTATTTTTGTCTCTGTGCTCAGCAATGAATCCTGGCATTGTTGCTGAGGACTGTATGTGATGCTGGGGATCAAACCCAAGTTGGTCACCTTACCCACTGTACTATTTCTCTAGCCCACAATTTAATTTCCTTATTAAAATCAGTATCATTCAAATGCCAGGTAAGGCCGTGTAATGTATAATATGTGAGTGATAATATGTCTTAAGGCAGCTGTTAGAAACAGCATGACCCCAGATAAGCTCCACTCTTATTTCAAATCTAAGAATCATATATGTTCATAGAACAAAAAGCATACAGAAACCAAGCTCTGCCTCTTGGAGTACATGCCCTGACGGTATCCTCTCCCATTTCATACCCGGGCTGCTCTGTGTGACCATTGTAGCACAAGATGGAGTGTCACTTCCAAGCTTAGGTCATCAGAGACACTGTGCCTTCTGCCTTGTTTTCTCTTTGGGTCCCTCACTGGGGAAAGCCAGATGCCTTGTTGTCAGGACACTCAGATATCCCATCACGGAGGCTCCTGTGAGCAACCATGGGCCCCCTGTCCACAGAAAACGAGAAACTGCAACTTTTGGCCCAAAGCCACATAAGTGTGCCACAATAAGAGTGTGTCCTCCATCCCTGTCAAGATGGTGGCCTTGATTTATTCCTTCACTCTGACCTCATGAAACACCTTAAGCCAGAACTACCAGCTACAGCATTCCACATCTCCTGGGACTGTGAGAGCAAGAAATAAAAAATGTTGTTATTTCAAGTTGCTATGTTTTGGGCATAGCAGATGAAAAATACAAATTAGCTCAGAACATTCTAGGTGTGTAATCGAGGGGAATTTGCTTACACACTACTAAAATATGTTGCTAAAACAACTCTTACAGGAAAAAAATTAAAAACACCACAAGGTCTTCATGTTATTCATACACGGGAATTAAACTTAGACATGAGTCACTGTCACTGTCCTCCCGTTTTTCATCGATTTGCTCGAGCGGGCCCAGTAACGTCTCCTTTGTGAGACTTGTTACTGTGTTTGGCATATTGAATACGGCACAGGTAGCTTGCCAGGCTTTGCCGTGTGGGCGAGATACTCTCGGTAGCTTGCCAGGCTCTCCGAGAGGGGCGGAGGAATCGATTCCAGGTCGCCCACGTGCAAGGCAAATGCCCTAGCCGCTGTGCTGAGTAATACATGAAAGAAAAAAAAAACTATAAAAACAAAAGAGAAGATCAAGTGGAGTTCAAGAGGATTTAATTGTTACAAAAACAATCATGATATTAGAAAACAATAAACAGGACAATCTAAGGGTTGGAGATATAGTTCAGCGGGCTGGAGCATATGCTTCATAGTCAGGAGGTTTGGATTTGATCCATGTGATGCCCCATTAACCATATGATTGCCAAGCATCCAGCAAGAACAGCCCCCAGGTTATCATCAGGTGTGGTTCAAAAAACAAAACAAAAACAAAGAGACTGTAACAAATTAAATTCTGGAACATGAAAAAGAAAATTAAAATTATAGCCTGACAAATCCACTTCAAGGATTGGAGCTATCTTATAGGAGGTAGGGCATTTGCCTTGCACACGGCTGATTCAGGTTCAATCCCCGGCATACCATATAATCCCTTATGCTCTGCCAGGAGTAATTCCTGAGTACAGAACCAGAAGTAATCACTGAGCATTGCTGGGGGTAGCCCAAAAACAAACTGATAAAAATTTTTTAAAATAATTAAATTGAACTCTCCAAATACTCAATAATATGGGGGAGCTAATCATCTTACATTACTTAGTTTTAAAAAAAAAACATCTACACATATCTAAGTGTACATATAAACAACACACACACACACACACACACACACACACACACATACACACACACCTGGGAGAGCCACGCTGCACACTTGGTTTGCACAGGCAGGCTAGGTTCCGCTGTGATTTGAAAGTCCCCACAGGATGTGTGAAATCATGGGAGAACTCAGGCCCTTGTCAGGACTGAAAAGAGGTGATTCAACATGCAGGTTTCTTCCTCCGACCCTTGATCCTATTTCCTTTTCAGAAACAGCCTAAGTGAAAGCTGAGAGGGGCAGAACCCTGCAGCATTTTCACAGGAAAACCATTTTAGAAAATCTCAGAGCGGGTCATGGAATATACTAGAAAAATTCAGGACAGAACAGACCTTACTGGGAAAAGGGCCCTTCACCCACAATCAACAAATGAGAAAGTTGGAAAAGATAAAGTGTTTGTGAGTGTATTTTTCTATAACACAGAACTAAAACGAAAATGAAAAACTTAGGTGATGCAAACAAAAGAAGAACTCAATGGCGAAATAAGTTCAAGATGACTCAAGGAAGCCAGACCCGAACATAGGACCTGGGGCTGGGAACTGCGCATAGATTTATTTATTTTTTTTATTTTTATCTTTTAATTGAATCACTCTGAGATAGACCCTTACAAAGCTGTTCATGATTAGGTTTCAGTCATACAGTATTCTAACACCCATCCCTCCATCAGTGTACCAACCAGTATGACAATAGTTGGAAATGATCATACTGGACAAGAACTGGGTGTTAAAAAT